AAGTATTCTCTCCCCAAATCTACAGACAGAGTTTGGGGAAGGTGTCTGAAGCAGATGAAGAACTGAAATTTGAGTAAAATAATAATTTTATAATCTGTGTTGGTTTAGTACCTTTGTTATTTGTTCTCCTTAGTTATTCTTATTTTGATTAGATCGGCCCTGTTTCTATTTTACTTTAATTCAGTATGGTCTTAATTATTTCAGTCAGGTTATGTTTATATCCTGTACATATTGCTTGTGGTTAGATTTGATTTTCCAGCTCTGCTGTTTGTGAAAACTCCTCATAAGTAGTAATCACAAACAGTGTGTGAGTGTGCGTATGTACCACACTCACACACACGCTTACATCCTCATTTACCTGCTCCCTCAATGTTGTTCACTGTGATCTCATTTGTTTTTGTTTTTTTATCTTTTAAATTTTTTTTTCTCCCAATGAATAATTTATATTCACTCGCTACCTCTGCCAGTTCTGCATCTTTTGGCTCTTAGTTTAATCTCCAACCATGAAAAGCTTCTAAATATTGACCCCAGACTAAAGAAATACCTTTGTGTGTATAAATTCATCAAGGAGTAATTTTTTTCTCCAGTTTTGCTGCCCGCTGACATATGAGTGTTTCACTTTTTTGTGTTTTGATTTTGCAGGGGCGAAAGAAAGTCCACAATGAAATGTGAGTAAAAGACTTTCCTGTCATTGCACACACACACACACACACACACACACACACACACACACACACACACACACACACACACACACACACACACACACGCATGCATGCAGGAATCCTTAAGTGAGAAAGCACACCAGCTCGTTCTACCTCGTACTTGTAGAGCCCTTTGAGGTGTGACCGATACCTAAGCCTGCCTAAATCCTTTGGATGATATTTAATTTGATCTGGACGTGTCAATGCAGCTCCTGGATACCCGTTTGATTCTCAATTTTCTTCTGAGGATCAATTGTAAAATGAAGTGTCTGTCGAAATTTTCCGCCAGTAACGGTGTGGAATTAACGAGGCTTAGCTCTCGCTGGTGACTCACCCACTGGCTTCTGGAGGATATTGATTTGGATTAAAAGGTTAAATGTTCACCTGGGTCACGGATCCGATTCTGCGACGGGTCCCGCCGCATGACGGGCCTCGCTCGAGGGAATGTCAGTTCAGGACATTTAACTCCACAAACTCAGGGAAGATTACCAAGAGTATCTAATCTCTTTACAGCTGTCTGTCCTGACAGTCTGGCCCGGATCTGAGAAAAGCAATACAGCGGCTGAGCTTATCGCTACAGACAATGAATGAGCCGAGAAATAAATCTGATTTCCGCGGCCCAGAGGTTGTCTGAATCTACTTGTTTTATTCTTCGCTCGCTGTCAAGCCGAGTATGAGATAAGACGGCAAGAAATAAACTACAGCATGCTTTAGCTAAAGCAGTTTTCTCTATCTGCTGATAAGATAATTAAACGTTGGAGGGACTCTTTTGCTGTAGTTGATTTAAGTTCCAGGTTCTTTAAACCAAAAGGGAACCAATGCTTTTGTAAATATGCTTCAATAAAAGTTGTCTCTATCTATCTGTGCCTCATTGGCTACTGTATTTATCTATGTAATCTCCTGCCTATAGAATTGTTAAATTAAATTGCCAAAAACAATGTTTCATCTGTTATATTTAAAATTAAGCGCAAAATTAAGCAAAGATCTGAACAATTCAGATTTAACTTGACCACCATGTTCCTGCTGACTCGAACAAAAGCTGTGAAAATACAACAAAATGCAGAGAGACAATATATTGACATTGTAGATGGTTTTTGTCTTAAACCAAAGTCTTTGCTCACAGCTTAGCACATCTTAAGAGGGTTGCTGGGAGAATGTGGAGTGCTTCAAAGAGGACCGTAAGTTATAAAGAAGGATAAATAAGAAGCATTGACCTTTTCTGCGATCTCATAACATTAACATTTTATTAAATGGTTACTAAACCGAGACCGAAGGTCTTGCCTTCTTCCCATGCAAAATAGATTGAAGCTTTATTTTCCTCAGCATTGCCTAGTGATAGTTTGCTGAACTATCATCGTCTCAAAGCCTTTTAAAACACATAGCATTCAACCCACAATTTAAACCTCAGGTAAAATTAAAAGCTACTGATGATTTAGATTCAAGTGAAATTAAGTACCTTATTGGCTATTGACAATCAATCAGAAATGCAGCAAAAAATGTTTCTGTCCATATTATTTTAAGAGATTAATATGGAAAAGAAGCAGAAATGTGAAAAAATAAAACTTTTCTTTTGTCACTTAGCAATATGTAGATGATAGCAGATCCAGTATGATTCAGAGAGATGAAAGCACCAGAAAAAGTTTCATTCAAGGGATTTTGTGGCATGGTTATGTTGCAGCTGAGTCGTTTCTAAAATCCTAATTTGAAGATTAGCATCTGAATTGTTGTGGAGACAGAAAGAAAAAGTTTTTCTCTGAAGCAAAGATCATATTTATTTATGAACGTTGGCAAAACACAACGATAAAGATCACAAAACTCAGAAATGTATTTTTGTGTATTTGGGATGCAGCTGGATCAGTTTTCCTTGTTTGTTCTTCAGGTTTGAACATTCTGCTGTTTCTGTCCCAATTTCATTTCACATTTTCTAATTTCCAAAAATACTGAGGTGGTAAAAAGGTTCAAAGGTAACCAATCACTTTTAATCCTCTAAGCCGGTTAATGAGAAAGTGTAACAATCATTGGTGTGATTTTGTTTTTCTAAATCTTAGAAAATGAATGTTACATTTTCGTTAACCGTAAGTGTGAAATCGCTACAATTAATGGACAACAAGGTTTGAAAACATCAGTCTGTGTGTAATTGATCTTTAAGAAATGCTTCATTTAGTAAAATACAAAACCTTTTCAATAACACTTAGATTTACCGAGTGGGAATTATTGAATCGTGCAGGTTTGGTTTTATCATTCACTGAGACACCAAATCACAAAGGACTAAATATTGAGCTGAAAGTAACAATTCAGGTGCTGATATAAATCTTATTAGCTGAAATTATACAACTTGGGGACAACAGTAGGAAGATGTGAGGAAGTTGTATTGAAAAGCATCACTGCAACAGGCTGGAATAACATCCTTATACTATGTTTTTCTTGTGTCGTGCATTCTGAGTGCAAAGTTATCTTTTTATTTGAGCAACATGTTCCTCCTGACTGGAAATAACATTAACTTTCCCTATGTGCAGAGAGATACAGACTGGGGTGATGTCAAGGAGGCTTTCCAGCCTCGTGGACATGTTTATTGCTATTTTTAAAGCAAAAATCACAAACAAAACATAAACCCAGTATGTGTATAGCACAGTGAAAATAGCAGGTCTCATGTCTAAGTATTAATCATCCTGTCATGTTTCACCTTTCACCTGTTTCACCTTATAAACACAGACAAAACAGCAAATCAGCAACATAAAACACTACAACAGTGTCCTTATTAAAAAAATAAAAACATCTCAGGACAAACATTACAGCATTAATACAGTCACGGTGACTCCGATTTGAAAACTGGGCGATAACTCGGCCGTTACTGATCCAGTAAAAAGGTAACCATTAAGACAAACAAACGTGAACAAATATCAGCCTTTGAGATTTGATTCAAGAACGAGTTTCCCTGCGACGATAATGTTTAACTGCCTCGTTTACGACAAATCTTAAATTCCTGACATCTTACTTTTAAAATGCAACTATCTTCCCTGAGCTGTAGTATTCATTGCATAACTTATTTCAGCACTTCAAGTCCGGTGCTTTCTTCCATGTAACATGAGGCCTCTGATGTTTTCTCATTAAAAGGCAAATAAAGTCTATCCCTTAATCCTGGCTGGGAAATAAAAGCAAACGTCTTACTGAACCCTTGGGCTTGTTTGCTTCACCAGCTGTGCCAGTGAAGGCAGCAACCACGGTCACAATAATGGAGAGTTAATGTTGGTGTTTTCTAAGCTCTGGCCAGGTTTTATATTAAACAGCAAAAAAGCATAAAGTTGTAACTGTCTATTTATGAAGAGTATTCAGAGAGACATAGTTCTCTACTTGTGGTCAGACTATTAAATTCAGTGCTAAGAAATCTTCTATTTGGCACAAAACTGAGAGCATCTACTGTGATGTCCAGAGTAAAGTCCTGGCTGTCAAACCCCATCATATTCAGCTGCAGATAATTTCAAGAACTGAATGTATGAAAAACTCAGTATGATGAATCAATGAAACTAAAATTAATGAATCAATGTTCAGAGGTAGGTCAAAGCAGCTACTGTCACACAACGAAACCATAAAATATGCATTTGAACATGATGTTTTTTCTGAAACGTGCGCCATTTCCACGTTTTCCTCTAATGTCTAGGTTGTCATCAGCGGGTGGGTGATCCAGACCTTGGTTGGTAGTTTTGGTACATGTTCAACCTTCCTCTTGTGCTTTCCACTCACTTCTTCTATGGTTCTTATGCAAAACAACCGACGGTCCACAGACTCTTTACTGACGTTACTGTTGTCTGCACTATCTGGTGACGATTTGCTATGATGCGTTTATTAATCAGTGAAAGATTGGATTTATTAGTTTCAACACGGATCTCAAATTCTCCTTTTGGACCCATGTGTATCGAGACAAGATGGGTAGAGTGAAAAAATGCAGCTGAAGAAGTTATATTTCAGTATTCAATTGTTCAAATGTTGTGATTGAAGTTGTTACTGCACTTTAAATTGTAAGTTTTGCAATTTAACATAACTAATTTCAGATTAACACCTCAAAGCCTTTCATCATTCAATTCTTACTGAAACGTAACTATATTACACATAAATGTGCCCCATTTTGTGTGTGTAAACTTCCCTCCCTGGATACATTTTAGTGACTTTTCTGCATTTACGTCAGTCGATTATTGTTCCTTCTCTTGCAACGGTTAATTTTAGCATGATTCAAATCTCCGCCAACACCATAAATTATGAACAGTGAGTGCATCTTTTTGTTTCGACAGCAGAGCTTACTTGAATGAAGGGGAATAAGAGGCCCACGGCAAAGTTGGACAACCAATTCACAATACCAGCGATCATGAAAGCAGCAGGTCTGTAGGATTGTTCAAACAGTTCTCCAGTCAGGATAAATGGGATGCCACCTGAGAGAGAGAGAGAGACAGAGAGAGAGAAAGAAAAGATGTATGAACCATTAGTTGCAACAAAGTGCTGACAGCAACTAACAGAAACAAATGGTTTTAGTTTGAAAAACAAACAAAGCACTTTAGGTGTTTCATAACTTTTTTTATTGTTTTCTCTGGCTGCAGGCTGCAGATCAAAGTCTGGTGCAGTTTATAAATTTGTTCTGTATTTGTAGCATCTGTAAAGATTCTGCAGCAATTTATGCTGCAGGACTGAACTTTCAGCAGCACAATAAGGTACGTCCCTTAAATTTCCTGACTTTAATTTCAACTATATGTTGTTTTGAAACAAACTAAATGACAACAAACAATTGCAATTTCGCTAAAACTTTCAGAAATCTGAGCAGATGATAAAAATCACTCCTTAATTGGCACACAACTCGTATGGTTAGTCTAAGAAATAAAAACTCCAGCAGAAGCTATATTTCTGTCTGTTAAAATTGCTGTTTAAATGTAAAAGTCAGTATGTCAAAAGGTCAAATACTTTTATGAAGCTAGAAACTATGCAAACTCAAATGCATTTGAGTTTGCGTCAAATGCATTTGAGATTGTGTTTAGTGTTAACACAATCTCTGGGTTAACACTCAGCACAGAGGAGGCTGCGTGTCTCATTTTTATGCACCATGCATTAATTACAGCTATCAAGTAACCAAAAAACCTAATTCCAATGTTGAGGATACTTTTAATGTGCCTGCATTGAGTTCACATAAAACCCAGAGAGATGCATAAGTTGTTTATGTTGAAAACACTTAGACTAAGGCTAATTTAGTTAAAAAAAAACAAACAAACAAAAGTTGTAAAAGAAGAGTTCAGAAGGAGACGTAAAATAAAACACAAATGCGGTTTCATTATATTAATTATGAGTAAAACATTTCTTGCCAATGCCATTTTTTTTCTTTTTTTTTTGCAGTTGGGACACTGTGCCAATAATATTATGAAGGAAAGAACTGGTTTGGGTTTTGTTTGAGCTCTGCAGCTGGATAGACAACAGATGCTTCCTCGTGAGGGACGGTCAAATCAGTCTTTTCATTAAGAAAAGTGAAAGTTGTTTGGCGAATTTTCAGCCATAACTATTAAATAATGGTTATCAGGATTCTGAATATTTTATACCAACATGTAGAGTTTCCATATTAAAAGGTATTCCTTTGTATTAAATGGAGTGATCAACAAATGACAAAATTGTACTAGTGAAATAGTTTTCGTTGAATAGAAAGCTTTGAGGTTGTGAGTCTAATATGAGGTCTTCATAAGGGCAACATAAACTTTATCTTTGGCTAAAATATAACTGAACTTAAAATATATAACCCATATGTTGGATGACCTCTATATTTCCATTATTCTGCCTTTATTGGGGCAAAAGTAACATGAGCAGTCAACCTATTGTTTCTCTTTCTTATGTGATAAAACAGGTTCAGAAGTTTATCTCTTAGGAACAGCTGCAAAACTGGAAAAGACTAGAATAGTTCAAATGTTTTCCATGCTACATCTTATACAAAGCTGTTGGGACGTTGTCCATCTTCAAGGAAAAACAAACAACAGGGGAAGATAAAGAAAAGAAACTAAGTTGTACAGTTCAAAAGGAGAGCTGGCAACACCTACTCAGGACTTTTACTGTAGCAATGCATCCATAAAAAAATCATTATACCATTTCTTTGATATTTCCTCACTGACTATTTCTTTGTTCCTTCATTTTCACATTTATTTTTAAAATATTTTAGTACTCAATTTATTTCATGTCAACCTTCATATCAAATTTGGTGTCATGAGGTTGTTCCTCATGGATTGCCAAGCCTATTACTTCATAATCATAATCAGGTCACAGCCTAACTCAAAGCTAAAACCCACACAGATGCATTCGAGAACATCAGCGAACAACGATAAAGACAGAGAAATTCAGTGGTGAAGTTTAAAAAAAAGGACTGAGTTATAAATCAGCACTCCAAGCTTCAGCCGTCTCGTGGAGCTCTGATCAGTCCATCATCCCAACATGGAAAGAGTCTGACTACAAACGTACCAGAGGCATGGCTGACAGGCCTGGCAAAGAGAAACCCATCATAACGCAGCAGAGATGAAGCAATCCACTGCTGAGGTGGGCCAATGTGTCAACAGGGGCGACTGACAGCCATGCTCTCCAAAAGCCATCATGTGGATTCTTAACTCAAGACCCTGGCAGAGCTTCACCCTCCGGTGACCCTAATCGTACAGTCGGCGCTACAATCTGCAAGACGAGACGAGGGCAGATTTATTGGTGGGATTGAGCAAGTGGAGGATTAGAGTTGAATGTAACTTAAAAACTTTAACAAAACTAGAAGCTAGTTTTCATCCAATGTCTCCGGGTTTGAGCTATTTTAAAAATCTTGGCAGTGATAAAGATATACCCCAAAAAAGCCTGGCAGCTGTAATTGCTGCTTAGTCTATTTCAGAAATAATCTGTTTACATGGTTTGAGGCAGTACAACAGGAAAGAAACTTTAAGTCACCTTTTCACATTATTATTATTTTTATATCAGGATTGTATGTTATCTTTTTAATAAGGCTGGAGGAATTTTGATGTAAGGGATGATAGTGTTTCGTGCAAAGGATTGTAACGCATGCTACATGGCCAAACACATTTTTTCTTTTGGTTGAACTCACAATCCTAAATCAAAATGTATTAATGTGCATTCTTGTGATCTCACACAAGAATGTATCATCGACATGATAATATAAACTGCTTAATTAACAGTAGGCTGGTCTGTCAATGTTAAAGAAGCTTACAAAAAAATAAATACAATAAAAATGTCTGCTTTAAATCATGTCAGCGATAATTTTGTTGTCCTTTGTAGCTAAAGAGACAAAAACCACAAAGGCATTTTCAGCTCAACATAAGAAGCTACGATTCTGACATAAAGGCTTAGCATCTCATTGGAAATAATTACTTATGAGAAAAAAAAGCAAGATGATGTTTATTAATAGAATAGCATTGAAATAGCCTTTATGGTCCCACCGTGGGGAAATTCAGGTGTAACAGCAGCATCAAGGGATGTTGATGCTGCTGTTATTATTATTGCATAATGGAGTTAATCCATGGTAAACAAAACATCAAAAAATGTTTTAAAAAAAATTGTATGTAAAAAATCAATATTAGCTATAATAATACACTATACAAGATGATATAAAAAATACTGTGCAGCTATCAGAATAGAGACACGGTACTCGCTAACCGAGGGACATGCAACTGAGCAGGAAGACTGTCTTTAAATTATACATAATCTGACTGTGAGCGATACAAAGACAGCAGTCTTTTTTACAATACAGCATATCAGTGTAGTACAGAAAAACAAACGTGCAGTAACAGCAGAAATCTCTTTAAAAATTGGTCATAACAGTGTCAATGCCAGCAGAGATGTAAGCACCTCTAGAGTCTAATAAAAGGATCTGAAAGGATCTGCAATAACTTTCCAGAATCACCTGGAAAACAGAAGAAACTCTTCAGTTCAGTAACAGCTTCATGCAAGGGGTTGGGGATTATAGACAGAAGGCGTGCTGATTCATGCAGTCGATTAGATGGCACAAAAGAATGGTTAGCATGTCAAACACCCATCGCCTGTTTACAGCACTTATTGATACCGTCCAGTTTTGTATAAAGGAGTTAATGGTGAGCCAAGGTAGAAATATAGACCTGCAGGGGTATGTTCTGGGTGGCACAGTTAGAATGCAAACGACTGAATGAAGATTGGCTTAGAACCCCCAATAATACACAATAAAAGGTAACCAAGAGGAAAAAGGAAACATGACAAGACAAACAGGAGGCTTAGAAGTGGTATGCAGGAAACAAATACACCAAGGTTTTCCTGTTAATGTTTGTCCTTTGGATAAAAGCAGGGATTATTCAGAGCAGCAAGTAAAGACAGCTCAATATTTGTTTTCAACAGATTCTTTGCCAGCACTTCTAAATCTACTTGAAGCCATTAGCAGCTGACATTCTTCCAGATAGAAGACAAAGTGGTGCTTCTGTTCGAAAACTTACATCTTGAAGTTGTTGCACGTCAGTGAAAAGCCACAGCATTAATGCAACATGGTGAAATCTGCCACCACTTACTGCTTAATGTTTGTTGCCCTGTAGACTAAACATGGGCTGGTGGACTGACCTTGTAAATTTGAAAGACACTTTAATTGAAGGGCCGTTCAGACTGACATTATACTGTCCTAAATACAATTGTAATGTCTGACTGTTGTCATTCAGTAAATAATGACGCTTTCAGTGCAAAGTCGACACATTTAATAGAGTTTTGATGTAAGTTTTAGTGCAATTTTGCATAAAAATGTAATTATTTACCAAATGATGCTAACTTGACACTTTTAATGCCCTTTTAATACAACTTTTAATTCAGTTTTGCATTAAAAGAGTCATTATTTACAAAATGACACTACATGACAACAGTCATAAACATTCATGAAGACTACTTCATGTTCATGACACTTGTTTTGTCACATCTATGCCAGTGTTATGTCAAAGTGCTACCAAAAAAGACCAGGGTATGAAGGTCAAATAAAATCAGGCAAAACGTTTCAGCAAATGTCAACTCAGAACTGATAAAACAAACTTTGTTGTCAAACATTATTCATTGCTGAGTTTTGGAACTAAACAAATGCAGATTGACCTTCTACCTCTAACTTGAATATTTAAGTACTGCTAACAGTGAGAAATGATGCGACCGAATAATTTTTCAATCTCTTTAAAGACAAGATATTATGCAAATCAACTTGTTTGAGCTTTACATCATGCTACACTGACATTTATTCATCAGACACACTTTGACTCATTCATGCAAGTTTGTCAAATGTTTGAATTTTCCATTTGGTGTCACCTATTGAGCCAAAGCACCTCTTTGGAGCTTCGTTCTCCAGCCGAGTCCCTCTCCCACACAGACTAGCAGCTGCAACAATTAGCAAACGCAAATTGCACATCTGCTTGGGTTG